TGAGGGCTTGCCCGGAGTCCGCGCCCTGACCTTGGCCACCGGCTGCGGCCCTTGGGGCCCCGGCTTCCCTCAGCCACCGCTGGCTCCTCCTTGTTCCACTGGAAGTGTGAGGAGAACTCGCCGTCTGCTCCCCAGTGCGCCCCTCAAGAGCAGCTGAGGGTTTTCTTCTGCTCTCCGTCCATCTTAGTCCAGCCCCTCAGTGCTGTTGGAGGATCCCCTTCGGCGTGTGGGCTCCCACCGAATGGTTGATTCAGTGTTAGTACGTTTTCCACTCCTTGTGTCTTCAGTGTTAGTACGTTTTCCACTTCTTGTGTCTTCATTACCGCTGATTTTTTCACAGTGTGCTGCCGTTCCCAAAGGGGCACGGTTTGGATCGGGGTTGTGGGGGTGAGTGAGGGGATGGGTTGTTCTGTGTGGGCTAATGCTAGGGGTGACCGATGGCAGCAGCAGAATTAGCTGTACCTCTGCAGATTCTGAAGTGAAAGCCTGTTTGTTATTAAACCTCTGATTCATCAAGAGACCAAATGGAGACACCTGGGAACACTGAAATGTGGTAGCAGTTTTGTGAGCAATCAGAGGTACTACTGCATTCTTTAAAACTGCCTTGTAGGTGATGGCTGCTGCCTCTGAGGAGAAACTGCTTCCAAATAAGACAGAAATTGTGGTCTGGAAGCCCAGAAAAGGTAGGACAAAAGAAAGCAGGTCGCAAATATTAAAACTTGTGCACTGCTTGAGAAATATGCTTAAAGCCTTTTGGTGATACATAGGAAATGCCTCTTTACTTACTGCAATAAATTATTTCCATGTAGGTATTTCTGTATGCCTAGGTGCATGAGTAATTAATCAATATGACTTTTTTTTTTTTTAAACCAGAACCATATTTTTGTGGGTTTTTGTTGCTTTTTTTCTTTTAAATACCTACAGGTGAATGTGGTGAAACAAGAGTGCTGGGTCCTGTGCTGTAGTTTACAGAGTTATTTTCCAACTAGTCTGTGGAAAGTCCTGGTTTGCATTATGTTCTGGTGCTGTGGTGCAAGGCTATGTCCACTCTTCCCAAGCACCTGAAATGTGAAGCAGCTCTGTAGTGATGTTACATATATAGGAAGCTGTGTGTATTACATTAAGATGAGTAAGCACAAAGTGTATTTGTGTACCTCTCTAAATTACTGTGTGCTGAGCACTTAATTGTTCTTTTTTTCTTGTTTAATTTCTGAATGTATCTGTTGGTGCTTTCTACTGGTTTTAGAATGTTTGCAGCAGAATATTCCAAATGTTCCTGATGGCAAGTCTGAGGAGAGTGAATCTGCTTCTACCTCTCCCAGTGAAGGTGATGTTAGTGGCTCTACTGATGAGGGCTGGTACAATATATATGCTGACCTGGATGTGTGGGATAATGAAGTTTCTAGTATACCTGAGTCTTCAGGGCAGCAAGATGCATCTGAGCATGAGGTGGAAGACTGGGATAGAGAACTAGAGGAGTTCACATGTGGTCCTTACGGTGAGTACACATTTGCTTGTGCTTCATCAGAGTTTTGGATAGTTGGAGGTAGGTGCTTTGCAGAAGAATGTGTTTAAGTAACTCCATGTTCTATTTTGGGAAGCAATTTCTTGTTGTGTTGACCTCCTGGTCAATTTTGTTGTCAAACACAGGATTTAGAGGTGGTGTTGTGGAGTTTGCATGAAACTCTTGCTTGAGCAATTGAATTCTTAGGGAGTGGCATGGTAAGGAGGAGAATTCCATGTTTGTGTAGAGTTTATCTGGTGAAGCAAGTTTTCTGTGGTGTATCTTTGTTATTCTGAAGCAGAAGAGAAAGGTACATGGTGTGCAGGAATTAACTTTGTTGTCTAAAAATTCTTAAAGAAAATTCAAGGCTGTTCATTATAATGTCTCTCTAGAGCATAGAGTTCTTTGGATCAGTGTTCAGTCTCTGAGTATGGTTTGTTGCTTTTACTGTAATGTTTGGTGGGTTTTTGTTTGTTTGGATTTTTTGGTTTGTCTAACTTTGATTTTGTTGAAGCTTGATCCTCCTAAGTGGTTGTGCACGTGATCAGTCCCATGGACAAAAGTGGCAACGAATAGAAGGAGTTCCACTCACACTTTTAGAGTTGAGTTATTCTTCCAGCTTGTAACTCTTTTTTATGGTGATTCACCATGTTACAGAGTCTCAACCTTCCATTGGCCAGGCAGGCTTTTAGCATAGAAGGGTGGATGGAGTTTAGCCAGAAGTGATTGATAACCTGGCGTGTCTTTGTTGGTGCAGAATAGTAGTATTTCCATTTTCTTCTCATTAATGTGCATATTTTTGTACTTAATACCATTTTCTTTGCTTAGGAAATATGAATTCTCTGTTTATTTTAATCCCATAATTAAAATAAACTTTTGTATTTAAATTCCGTTGTTTGATAATGGAAGAAAGCGAGAAAGTTTTTGCAGTCATTCTCTAAAATCATTCTGATTTTAACATAGGAACAGTATTGGTTTTTCACACTGGGTAATCTGAGAAAAAGACTGTTGCCTTTTTGGAGGCTTTCCCTGTCTTCCATTCTTAGCTTTCATTTTAATCTCTTATATACTCAAATTTATGGAATGTTTTGAATTTTGTACTGGAACTGTCCCTCTTTTTCCCCTCTATTTAACTTGCTCATCCCACCTGTAGCTCTTTAAATCCTCACAAGCTAAGGCAGCTGTGATTATTGGATTCAGGTCCTTCTGAAGGATACTGAGTACAAGGGTCCGAGTTGTTAATTGCTACAAATACAAAAACGTGCTTGGATTGGTCATTTTACGTCTTTTTTAAGTGTCTTAAGTTCTTGCTGTGATGGTTTGTTTGGCAGTGCTGCTGCAAGGCTGACACGTGGGATATTGTGTTGGGTCCTCTGCTCCTCCATGCTCTGGGCTTTTTCTTTGCTCATTGTCTGATGGCTAGAAATCTTTATGCTTCTGTTAAAACACTTTGTCCTATTTTTGTGCTAGATTGGCTAAATACAGGCCCATTAAGCTTAATTCTAGCGTAGTGGAAATGTTGTTCAGAGCCAGCTTTTACATGACCTCACCCTCCTGTTCTGTCCAGTGACCCAGATCTTAAAGGGTTTGGAGGACTCCTGATTGGGATGGTGTTATGAAATGAGTAGGAAGGAGGAAGGCAAATAAAAGTAATACTTTCATGAGCCTTTTATTCCCAGGGAAAACGTGAAAAAACTGCAAGCCTTGTAAGAACTAGTGCCAGACATTGAGTTCCAGGTGTATCACTGAGCTTTCTGGAAAACTGTTTTGTCTGTGTGGCATGAATCTTCCTTCAAATGAACACATTGCCAAATTCAGTTTTCTCTTTGCCTTTTCTTAAGGTCTAGTTCATAAGTGCTGGCAGATCAAATTGAAGTAGTGAACTGGAAGATGCCGTAGACCTCCATAATAACCTATAATACACTATTCCACTGCTTTCCTGAGTATTTTATCTTTATTTTATCTTCTTTAGATGCTGACGATCTCTCCTGTGGAAGCTTTGAGGAAAATAATCTTTCCAGCTCGTATGTATGGAAGGAGGATTGGTTTTACAACCCGGGCTGTCATCATGCACCTTGCTTTGTTTTTCCACCACGAGTTAGAACAGTTGAGAAGGGCCAGTTTGATGATGCTGATGAATGAGGTTGAGCCTGGTCAGAAATAAGTTTGGCTTCTGTGTTGGATTATGTTCTTCAGCGACTGTGCTGTGTCAAGTCCCTTGGCTTTTTTTCAGAGTTGGGCCTGAGGCCAGAAATGTGTCACCATCTCAAGGTTTTTGCTTTGATTGTTTCTGAGCTGTTCATAAACTGCCCATCCTTGCCCAGGAGACAAGAGTGCAAATGCTGGGTGTAAGGAGTCAGTGCATTTCTGGAGGATTTGTTTGTATTATATAGAGCTATATTGCTGATTAATTGTTTGAGGAGAAGTATTTAATTTCTAAACTTCAGCTTGTTTGCTAGGCTTCTGTCAGTTTTGACATGCTGATCCTTATGTTTTTGTGTAACTTTTAGTTTTCTTTCCTTTTCATTTGATGTTATCTGATTGGTTTGGATAACTTTAAGAACTGTCCCTCCTTCAAGCTTGTCTGTTATATTTCCATATGGTTCTAATGTTCACTTGTGATTCTTGTACTGGTGTTTAACAAAATCAGCTGTGGTGAGTATAGAAGTTGTTTTGTGTTTATTTTTGTGTATTTCAGCAGCAAGGAATTACAAATACATGATACACATTTTGCAAATACATGTGTTGATATATAAGGGGGCCTTCTCCATCCAGTAGGAATGCTGGGTGCATAAGGCTGCCTCCCAAAAAAGATTTCTCCACATCAGACCTTCTTGTGTATGGGCATATTACCCTAGAATCACACAGTTCTCTTTATTATATTCTCATGCAACTTCAGATGTGTAATGACAAAGAAAATATCTATGCTTATATGTATATTGCAGTATATAATCTCAGTGTTCTGCAGACAGTAGTGAATTAAGGTTCCTGATGGTGTTCTGCTGTTTGTGTTGTGGCAAATGAGAGGATGGGAACACAAAATTACCTCCACAGAGACCCTAAGAGAAGAGGAGGAGCTAGAACCATATCCTTCTCACCTTTGCTCTGGAGATAAAGGAAGTGTTCTCAAATGAAATATGTAAGTGGATTGAGTTGCTGGTCATCTGGGTGACAACAGCCTTCAGTGTGCTCATGTTTCATTAATCACTTTTATCTCAAAAACTTTTTCATATTGTGTTTAGAACTGACTGAACTGGAGCACAGTATGATGGTTTTTATTTTGGTTTCTTTTCTTCTTTTTAAATCATCTAGTGTCTGAGACCAAAATAATTAATTCACTAGTTTAGAAGGAAGAAGTGAATGACATAGTGATATTTCCTTAATATTTTCCTAGAGAGAACAGAAAGACAAGAGCTTTTTTTTTTTTTTTGGGTACCTTTCAATTCCTGGCTATGTTTTGGTGTTGAGCAGTCAAAGCAGTGTAGAAGCATAGTGTTGCGGTTGCAAAAAAGAGGGCCTGTTCTTTTATTCCCATATAATGGAGGGACCTAGGGATTAATATTTCCATCAAAACTTCCTCAGTTATGCCAATAACTGGCTCATAATCTCAAGTGAAAAGGTTAATTTGCAATTATAAATGCAATATTCATAAAGATAAATTGAGTGCAGATTACTGTTGAAGTAACAATACACCAGTAAATTGTAAAAAATCCTTTGAAAACTTCCCGGTTCTTTTGTGAGCCTGCTTATCCTGTGCAAACCTGGCTGTGCATGGCAAGGCCCAAGGCTTCCCTGCAGAGGGCAGCAGAAAATTGTGTGCCCTGCTCGGTGTGTGCTCAGTAGTGTGAGCTCCCCGGGCTGGATTCCTAACGCTGATAGCAATTTAGATCAGAGTTCTGCATAGCCCTGTTGTTCCCCAGTGAGGCTGATTCATGGCCCTGATTAGTTTCTCTTTTTTTTTATTTCACTCTGAAGTTATACTTACTGGACTGAAAAATTTCTCCCATGGCTGAGTGAAGAACATCACTTGACTTCAGGCGTAATATAATTTTTTTTTATTATGCTTGTGGGAGATATCCCACCGTATTCAATAAAGATTAAACTAATAGTGTGGAAGCAAACCCATCTTTTGTAGAATTTTTTTATAAGGATAACCAAAAAGTCTTTATAACACTGATTAGGATGATTTTTCTACCTTTACAGTTCCAAAATTCCATAATTCCTGAATCTTGAAGCTATTTTCCATGCACTTAATAAATCAAGGTGTTTTTTTACCCTCTACCTTTAATAGCAATTAGTCTTGTCTGTCTCAAAGGTCTTATTATATGAGGAGAAATTGTACTGAATGGCTGCCTTGCTAAACTGTTTGTATTTCAGAAGACTGTAAACTTTAAACACTTGTTTTCAGTTTCCATTTAGGGTTAAAACTGACACCACCTTCTCCAGCTTTGGAAAACCAGGGCTTTGCAGCAGAGGTGCGCTGCTCTCTTTGGGGATATGTGGGCAAATGCAACTTTGTTCAACTTGGCCCTGCTTGTTAGGGCAGGGGCTTGATGTAAAGTTTGATCTGAACACTCTCGAACTTCAGGGGGATTAGAAAACCAGATGCAGGCTTCTCAGAAAGCATCTGCCTGGAAGGATTTGAAACCAATCTCACAGATTCCAGTGTTTCTGCACTGCAGAGTGTTTCAAATTCCACTCTGAGTCTTGCACCAAGCCTGTTTTGTGTTGACACAAGCATGTCATTCAAGGCAGGAATACTTGCAATTAAAAACAACATAAGGTAACGCATGAGCCAACAGTTCACACCAACAGTCAACCCTTCAGCCTGCTCAAATTATTAGAGGGAACAGAGTGCCTGTCACAGGACCAATATCATAAATCTTGGATGAACACAAAAAACATTGGCAGTACATCAGTTGGAAAACTTAGGGTCGCTCTGTTAAATGCTCATACATCTTTAACAAGATTCCCCCTTTCTATGCCCACAGTGTAAGATACCATTCAAAGAACTGAGTCCCTGCTGCAGGTTAATAGGTTTGCTGGGTTTATGTTGTGGGGGTGGCATAATATGGTGGCTCCTAAGAACAGGGTGCCACTTTGAAGTTGCCCTTGCTTTTCTTCTCATTACTTCACTTTGTAGGTGAAGATAATGACACCAGCCAGTAAAATACTTCAGATTTGCTGAGGAAGAGGTTTTGTGTAAATACTGAGGTGCTAAGAAATGAAAACAAGAGTTTTACATTTTCTTTGAATAGCCAGCCAATAAATGAAAGCTTGTTTTGGGTGCATCTGTTGTTTCCTTTGAGACCTACAGGGAATGATTTGCAAGAGGAAATAATTGTAGGAAATGTGTTCATATTTCCTGTTGAAAAGGTAGAGCACTTAATTCATACATCAGATTGAGATAGTGTTTCTTGCTTTTATATAACCACAAAATCCAGCCTGTCTCAGTGTCTTTTAGAGACACTGCTGCTTCACTTGTTGTTTTATCCTATCTTTTAACTGGTCTGCTTTCACTTTTAAACTGAGAAAACTCCTTCACTGTTGGGGTGACTATGTGAATAATTTCACAGACTATAGGAAAAATTCTGATGGCAGCAGCTCATCCTGACCATCTGTTGCTTCCAAGGACACCAGTGTAAATCCCTTTGTAACAAAGGTCATTTTGTGAAGCTGGGTAAGCCTCTGTAGGCACGGGGAAGGAACTTGAGATACTTTACCCTCTGTGGTTCTGAGTTGCAAACAGAGACACCGGAAGCTTGGGTATTAGAGGATAAATTAGTGGTGGAGTTGTTAGTCCTGGAGTACCAGCTGCTCATAGGACAGCTTCCTAGCTTGGCAGGAGGAACTGGAATCTACTAAAAAAATAAGCAAAGCACACAATCCCAATAATTTGGTTTACTGATGAAACCACTTTAAAATACTTTGAGTAGATCTTCAGCTGATACAAACTTTGGCAACTCATTACCCTGGCAGAACCTCTGTCCCTGTATGTGCTCCTGTGTAATGCCTGTGTCATTTCTTATTGAAAGCTCATGTTCAGTGAGCTCAGGTTCATTACTGCTGTATTCTTAATATCGTGGGCTTTCTTTATGTTACTTTTCACTCTGTTGACCTTTACAGAGCAAAACCTGTGACTATGGCTCAATGGCTACATTTATTTCTAAGCAGGTTGTATCAGGTAGGGTTATTTTTCCAAGCTGATGATAGCTAGTTTCAGGACATGTAGATGAAATCAGCCTTGGAAAGTTAACTTCTGTGATTCAGCAATTCTTGATTCTTTGGCCTGAATTCTTTTAATCAAATGTTTTCTGATCTTCCTGCAACTTCTGCCTTTATGACCTAGAAACTCTCTTCATTGTATGATGCAGGAATTTGAGTGAGTTGTACACATAAATAATATGTATTTGTGAACCTGAGATCTTACTTTGTTTTATTTTCCTCAAAGGGAAATAGTGCTCAGTCCTCTTTGAGCTGTTAGTCCTTAGTAATATTTACATGGAACAACACATTTTCTGTGACGTCTGGGGTAGCAGAGGATGCCAAGTTCTCATTGTGCTGCTTTGCAATTTTAATCAGTGTACCTACTGTGGACTCCTATTCCAACATTAAACAAGTTGTTTAGTATTTCTACATCTACCCCAGGAACTACTCCAAAACATTCCTGTTCTCACTGAGGAGTTCCTTCCTTTGCTTAACACAGTCTGGAAAATGTAAAAATTATTTTGCCTCAGCTAAAGTAATATAATTTCACTTCTAATCTTCATCTAGACACCAGAGTAAACATGCCACACTGTAATATAGTTCTGGCTGGCTACAGTTGGTTGGGAATTGTGTAACTCCCTTGTTACATGCTCAAATATTCCTGGGGAAGTAAATAGATGTGTTGGTGAGATTAAACAGGACCTATACCCCACAGCAGACAGTACAACCTCCTACTATGCAACTGGAGATCCAGATAGCAAGGAAAGTCTTCTAGCTGAGCAGGTCTTCAGTGTTGCTGACAATGATATGGTAGAATTAGAGTAGCAAGGTCAGAGGAGAAACTGATAGTTCCACCAGAAGCATGGGCAACACATCAAAATAATTTGGTACAGGAATCTCAGTTGCTGCATTCTCCATAGAGAACACGTAAGGGAAGTTTGCGAATTCTGTTTCAACTGTAGCTACCTCGTTAAATCAAAAACTGAAGCAGGACAAGTAATCTGACATGAATGCACCAAGGTGGAGTCTGCAAATAGCCACATGCTGAGTCAGCAATCACCATTGTATTGTCTGCTGTCCCTACTGGATTTGCTGGATTACCAGACCTCTCTTTGTTCTCAGCGTTATTTTTATCAGTACTTTCGGTTACATGTTCTTCAAACAGGTCATTATTTTCCAGGTCTGAAACACCTTTTACCTTCTGTTTTGTTTAGTTGCAGCTTATCTGCATCGTTCAGGTTTGATTGGGTCTCCATCTCTGCAGCTTGCCAGATGTCTGGTCTTTTTAGTGGGATTGGTCAGACAATATCAAGACAGATGAATATTTCTCAGGCTGAGACTGCCTGTCTGCTAGATAAGAACTACATTTAGTTCTATTATCTGCACTTGTGTTAGTAAGTGGATTAGGTTTAATTTGGTCCTTTGGAGAGAAGCGGGTGAGCTGTTCTTCAGACAGATCTGGGATTTTGTTTGAGGACAGGCTTTGTGATGTGGTCTGTAAAGTGCCTTGTAGCCCTGTAGGAATACTTTGTGTGGCTGGTTCCTGACAGCAATTTGGAACGCTAACTTTAATGATTGTGCTTCTAATTATGTAGAGAAGTAAATTCTCAGATGAAAGAATGGGGAGTTTCATCATCTGTCCCATTAAGTCCAGCAGGGTTTCTGTTGTGCAGGGGAGTGGCTGCCTAAAACTGGCACTGATAGCTGGAGTAAGGGGAAGGGTTTCTCAAGAAGGGTTTCTTAGGCTACACAAGGAACCTTCCATTCCTCCACAGTGTGCAACTTTGATTAAAAGATGTCTTGACTTCTTAAATGAGCCATATCTTTGTCATGGGTTACATTACTGTCATCTATCTTTTATGTCATTTTTCTCCCCCCAACAAGGGGGTAGATGTGGGCATTTGGCCAGCATGTGGCTGGTGAGATTTAGAGGACTGGGGAAATTGGTAACATTCAGCCTTTGTGATTGCCAAACAAAAGGGCAAAGTTCAGTGTCCTGCTAATGGACTTAACAATCATGTTGCATGATTGAGACTCCAGGTATTTGGAAAATGGCCTCTTTTGCTGTATATCCTCTCAACTTTGGGTTAGTTATTCCCATTCAGCTTACCTAGGTATTGGATATTGCTAAGGCTTTAATACCAGCTTCCACCATAATTCAGTCCTCCAGGCTTGGCAATAGGATTTCTCTGGTGTCAGGGCTTATCTCTGTGGGGTTTTTTTCACTTTCTGCTTAAATTTTCCATTTTGGAAGGATTCTTTCAATTTTTTTTACACAATTTTGTATCTTTTGTTTGCTTCTGCCTGGGGTTAAATTTAGTTTTTGCTTCTGCCTGTAGTACAAAGACCCAGCAACTGGTGCCAGGTAGAGGAAAGAAAAGTGTCCTCTGTTACGGCAGCATCCACCTTGTGTAACAACTCAAGGACTGTATCAGCAGCAAGTGTGGGAGGAGGCTGAAATGAGGAAAATATGGGAGGACACAGGGTGCAGTAACTGTGTTCATTTGTACAATGGGAGTGTGCTTCAAGTTTCACTTGATTGCTTCCCCCTTAATTGAAGCCTTGCCTAATTGAGCTGAGAGCTTTCCCTTCTCTAGTTCAGAGTACTGAGTTCCCTTCTCTGTGTTCAGAGTACTTTTAAAAAAGTACACAGTACTTTTTTGAAGAAGAAAATTTTTTCCTCTTTATTTGCTGTTTTACCTTAGACTTGACACTGATGTGAGAGGAATATTTATTTTTAGTGCTTCTTCCCGTGATTAATCCATGCAGGTTCTGCTTGATGGTTCAGTACTATTTTAATGATGTAGGCAACAGCTGTTTTCTCCATGTCTTATCAAATATCCTCCATGTTCTAACATAATAACAAAGAAGTTTCTTTATTCTTGGCTAGTCTGAATTTCCACCCAAGGGATCTCTTTGCATCTTTTCAGGGGACTGCAATCTAGGAATAGGTACTTGTGGCTGGATAGGTAGATTCTGCTTTAAACAAATAAGTATTTTTGAGGATTTAATATCCATTTTGTATGGATTCTGTTGTTACACTTAGAATGGCAGGCAGGGCTAATATTTTTAACAGCTCAGTAGTTTTAACTGTTGTCTTGTTGCTTTGGTAAAATAATGAGTATACCAATCTGCTTTGCCATCAGATGCTGTAGGGATGATTTAATTAGACTAATCACTTCCATTAACTGTGTTTTAATGCTTCTGTTTACAGATTCTTATTTTGGGAATTTTTTTTTCCTACATATTTTCTCTCATCCTTTTTTGTTGCCTGTTTGCTATCACAAAATTGATACCATAACAATTGTCTACTTTTACAGGTCTCTCAGTGTTATTATCTGACAAAATGTGGTACCTGCACTACTGGCAATGGTGTCCTCTCATCTCCATGGTCCCTCCCAAAGCAGGATAGCCTGAAGACTAGGACAAAATCCTGTGCATTACAGCGGTGTTGGCATATCTTGAGAGACCAGAACTGTGATGATGCCACATATTCCAAATTTCTTCTGATTTCATGTTTTCTGTGCTGATTTTTAAGATCTGTCAGAGGTACGGTTTTCAGTGGAATCTGTCATGTTTAAGAGTTATCATAATTATCTTGAAAAAGTTCCGGATTTGTGAAATAGTTGCTTGCTTTCAAGCTTTTTACAGTCAGCAGTATACAACAGAGTAATGTAGTTTATTCTTGGGCCTGGAAACTTATTCTACTACCTAAGTGCTTAATCAAATTCACTCGTAGTACATAGCATGTTTTCCTTGCTTAGCAGTGAATTTAAGAAAGCCTTTTACAGGTGTTTCTCATTCTGATATAACATTCTACCATAGCTCAGTACCATTTTTATTCATAAACTTTCTGTCCATAGAATTGCATACTTTTCAAGTAACTTTGATATTGAACAGGATTTGGAAGACAAAGTATTTCAGCTACCCTTAACAACTTAAGAGTTAGACACCACAGAATATTGTCTGCTGTGTCTTGTAAAAAATGGAACATTTGCAAACACTTCACTTGGTTTATAAAAAAATGAAGTTCTCAAGGACAATGACAGCAGAAGTAGAAATCATGTAACTTTTTTTTTTTGCCAAGGCTGATACAAAAATTATATTTGGAAGAGAACTATGTTGTGAAGCACCTGAGAGGCCACTGCTAGTAAATGTGAATAACTTCATATATTGAAAAGCATGAATCTGCTGAAAAAAAATGGTTTGAATTCCAGTCTCCAATTTGACAAATTAAATATCTATTAAAATGTATATTGAAAATTCCAGTGTTGCTATGGTTACCACAGCTTCCTTGGTTCCAGGGCTGCAGTGCATTTCACTTCAAATAAGAATTCCTTTCCCTCTTCTTCTTGAAGTATAATCAAATAGAACTTTCAGAAGTGCTTTTAATTTGCATGCATTAATTGGTGAAACTTGTTGCCACAAAGAATCAAACCCCCAGAAATATAGCTGTTACCAAAACATATACTTCTATTTCACAGCATCTTTGAATTAAATCTTATAAAATTGTATTCTTTGGTTCTGAACTGTAGAGCAGAAGTGACCATCCTTTAGCTAGGAGGACACTGGGACTCACAGCAACCCACTGAGTGTGGGTAAAACTCTATCAGATACTCTTTTGTTGGGTGTCCTCTGTGTTTATATGAATGGTTGATGCCCAATTGTTCTTCAGATTAGTTTTGTACTTTTGAATACTTCTGCTATATAGTAGTAACTACTCCTTTGAGTAGTAAATGAGAAAGTTTAAGGAGGAATGACTTTTATGGTCAAGCTCTGCTATTATTGTTCCATTAAAGCTCATTTCCTCTGAAGCTGCAGGTGCTGCCACCATGTCATTGTGGCCAATTCATGAGTTTTTGGAAAATACAGCGTGTTACTTGTAATGTGGAGAGATGATCATAAGCCCCATGGTGAGAGCCTATTAGACAATACCTGTGCAGCTTTCCTAGCGGAACTCAGTAAATGATATTATTAAATAATATTAGCAAGGTTGTAAAAAGAATACAGAGTGAAGTAGAGGAAATAAAATCAAGGGATTTTTGCTCTGTTGTCCTGGAATCTGCCCCACACCAACAGCACATCTGCCCAGCAAAGTTCAAAGATCAAGTGCTTCTGACATTGCTTACTTCTGTCAGGGATTGTTCCCTTTTTATGGAGCACAAAGGAGCCTGTGTTGAGGCATTTCCCATCGTGCTCTCTATGCTTATTATGTAAAGTTGACTCACTCCTTGTGGCCGTACATTTTCTGCATATTATCAAACTTTTTTTTTATCCCATGTGGAGCTTCTGCTTATGGTTTTAACATGTACATTTGTGTCTGTAAATAAGTAATGGAGAAGAACTGTGTGCTGCATTAAGTCTGCTTGCTTTAGAGCTGCAAGGCTTTGTCCCTCAGGAAAACAATCATGTCAGGAGATGAAAGCATTCAGTTGTTTGCTGTGAGCGTGCACTTCTGACCAAGCTATGGCATTCCTGGTCACACTATTCCCCATTCTGTTCCTTGCTGTCCTCTCAGGTGTGGCTGATCCAGCTGGAGGAGAGTGCAGTGATGGCCTTTCACCCTGCAGCATCCACAGAAGAGAAGGAGGAGGAGAGTGTGAGTCTCTAATGTGTAGTACTCATGGCCTGATTCATCCTTGACTTGAGCAGGCTCTAGGAGTGCCTAAAGTGAAGGTGAAAACCAGGAGATGAAGTAACACCAAATGGCTGGTGTAACTCTGACATGTACATAAAATCTCCTAGTCCTTACATCAAACTACTTGGTTATTTCAGGGTGGTAACTGTACCATTCTTCCTGAGGTTTATGAGTAAGATACCTGTTTTAGGTCTTTGCTAGCCTTAGGTCCATCTGCTCTGTAAGAGTTGGAGTTGTGTGCTCTTTAGCTGGAGTAAGAAAAATCCCATATAGTTCTGTCCACAGAGAAGAATGGGATTAAATTTTGAATTACCTCAGTAACCATATCCTCTTTTTCATATTAAATGAATAGGGAACTGCTTATTTAAATTCTACAAACAGCTTTGAAAATAGCCAAGTGTCCTCACAGATCTGCAACATGCATTCTAGATAGATTGTTGTTTAAACAAAATGCTTCCCATAATATGCACCCTTACAAGTACATACTTGGGTCCATTCAGGGCATGTTTCTGAAAGAGCTTTTTCACCAAAACCAATGTGTTTGAAAGTTCAATTTTCTGGCACTTTTGAATCTGCTCCCTGAACGCATTCTGAGGCTTGGAAACATCATGTGGTTTGTATAAATAAAAACACCAAATTGCCTGGGGTGCATCTGTGGCCCTTGCTGTGCAAGCTGGCTGTTTCTCTGCCATCAGCCTGACATTTCCAATCAAGTTTTTAATGGACTCCTGGGGCTCCCCCAGTTTCTGTTCAAGCAGAATCTGGCACCAGTCTCCCCAAGTCCATAGCAATGAAAAGCTTTATTTTAGCTTTTGATTGTACAGAAATTTAGTGACAGTAGGAAAGAAATAAAATGGTTGGATGAGTGCCAGAATAGCAGGAAAGAGCTGTCTTTAGAAAAAATTCATAACCTGCATTTTATTTTGTCAAATTAGGAAGCGCAAAGTATAAGGCAACCATAGATCAGACTTCTCTGTAATCTTTCCCAGATTTTGACAGATTGACAATTTTAATTAAGAGTGCTTTGTTTAATTCATTTTGTCTTTACACCTGAGAGTGTTCACAGGCCTGTGCAGGTTTGGACTGCAATTCCGCTCTTTTTTTTTTTAAATATAATTGTTGGTCATTAAAAGAAATTGAGGTAAATGTTATGAAGGCTTTTAATTTTCATTCCTGTTCAGGAAGTTCCCAGATCCCCTCTTATGCTTACATAAGTTATTTTAAACAGTTTCTTGTATTTCAAAACTTCTTGTTGTAAAGGAAGTGTGAACCATAAAACCGTAACAGTTGCCACTTTGTGGTAATCATGGGCACCTCAGTTCTCAGTAAAAGAAGCCTTTGTGTTTGTTTCTCAGATTTGTAACAGCAACTTTTGTAACTGGTAAAGGCTGAAGTCATGTGATCTGTATGGAACAGATGTTGGGATTTTAACAGTAGGTGGAGACAAAGACCTCATGAATTTTATCGTGTCTCTGCACACTGATTTTATTAGCTATGCATGGGCTCTCCTGATTTCTGGTTTATTAAATCCCTTTATAAAAATAACAACTATCTAAAACAACTATTAAAATAACTAATTTTGTTCTAAAGGTTGTTAATTTATGTTCACATTAATTCTGTAACTATTTTGCTGGCTATTGTTGATATATTGGCTTTCAAATATGAGGGGTGATTTGGAGATTGATCTATGAAACCCTTCTGTTCAAGTTCAGATCTGTCTTAGGCCCAAAAATTCAGAGGTCAAAGCACACCCAGGATAGACTTCAAGTTTGAACGTATCTTAAAATTCCCAGGGGTGTGGGAGTTGGAGTTCTGTGCAGACTGGAAGATTGAGGTGTGGTCTGCCTCTGTTTATACAGTGAATTTATATGTGTGTGTATGTTTATATAAATCCAGTGCCTGTTTGCAGGTGGGTGTTTGTGTTTACAGCGTATGTGGTGGCTACACACAGAATATGGTCTTGGCATCCTGCCTCTGCCTCCATTTACCCGAAAATGTACAATGTAATTTGGAGTCATGAGAACAAATGGGGTGTAATACATAAAGTAGGAGAGATGGTTTTATTCACTTTTCAGAGAGAAAATGGAGTTTACCAATTTCTCAGATCCATTGGTTGACTATTTCAAGTCATCTGTAGATACATTTTTATTTTAATCTTCTCCTTAATATAATTTACACAAGGCTGTTGATGGTCTATAACAGAGGAAGTCTCTGCCATATACATCATGCTGTGTGTACTGAAGTTAACTGAAGTGGTCATGCCAGAGAAGAATTTCCAATAGTATGACAGTTCAGGATAGGTTTCCCATTATTTTGGATGTCAAGCAGGTTGCCTGAGGAGAAAAGGTTTTATCAAATCTGTTCCTCATGCTTAGCTAAGACTACAATATGACAAAGCCCTGTGATTGCAGCAGGTTATGGTAGGACTTCCTCTTTCATTCATCTCAGGCTGGTCTGATCAAAGTTTCTGTGGTTCTTAAAACAGAGTTCACCTAGTGAGGTGTTTATGTGACAGCATCAATTCAATAATGAGAAGTGGAGTTTTATCCAGTAAGGAGGAGAGAAGAAGAGTTAAAGAGGAGCCCACATGTTGGGTAAGATCAGATACTTGAGCTCAGAAGACATTTAAGCAAACCTTTAAGGAGGGATTTTTTTGCTGCCTCAAAAAATTTGAGAGTGGTTGTTGTCAAGTACCTCTGTTCCTTGTCCACCTGTGAGGGGAGAAGGTTTGTCTTCTGAAAAGGAGTACCTGGGATTAAGTTTAAACAGGAGAATGAGTTGTTGTCTGTTCACTTCCTCATTATGCCAAGTAGCTTTGTGGGGGGGTGGGACAATTAATTTCACTGGAATCCTGACAAAACCTCCCTCATATGGAAGAGTTGTGTACCTTTGATTTTTCACTCGTGGGCAGTATATGCTACAGAAAATCAAAATGGAGGTTATTATTAAATACAGTTCAAATGAAGAGGCAAGGAGCTGAGCAGTTTTCTAAAATTAAGACAACACATGGTTTGGGGGTAACTGATAAAGATGTGCAGAGTCAGTGCCTACCACAGTATCATGTCTGTTCTGGTAAGGTGGTGTTTTGCAGGGCATCTCTTTGAATAAATCAAAATATCCTCCTGTAAACATCAGTGGGAAGCTGAAAATGACATACAGGTGGGTGTGTGGATCTTGCCTCTAGTGATGCACAGAGCCTGTCTTTCCAGTGTCATTCAAGTATAGACAGAGAGTCTAAACATCCTAACATTGCTTTAACTCTCAAGGACATTCAGCTCTTCAAATACAACATGGTATTTTCTGGTTTTGACCTACTGAGCTAATTGCAAGGATTGAACAGAAATCCTAACTTGGACTATAGATGATGGTAGTGAGGGAATGTGCAGTCAGTGTTACTACTTGGTACAAGAGTTACTTTTATTGATCTCAGAGTTATGGTTCATCATAGTTTCTTCTATGCTACTTTACTCTAAGAGTGTAATTTAATTAAAAATGTCTGTCTATATAATAAACTCATTAGATCATTAACAGACATAGCCTATTCTGTTTCTGAGATTTGCAGCACTATTCACTGTAAATCCAGTGCAATGCATCTTTAGTTAGGAATGCTGCCAGGCCTGAGAGCTCTGGAGGAACCGTGCTTCTGATGTATCTATCTGAACTTTGCTAAGCTGAGGAAATAAGATTTTGAGGAGCCCAGAGCCAGAAGGGGGTGGTCAAACTAAGGGCTCATTCTCTGGCTGTATCTATCTGCATCTTCTCTTTGAGCACCAGATGCTGGTAAAAGATGTGCTCTCGAAGTGAGCTTGTGTAGGAGTGCCTAGGTCTGTGCTCCTCTGGGCTGGGGCAGTGCAGGGGATGGTCCAGGGAGGGGGATGTCTGTAGCTTTTGGACTGACCATGTGAGACCACAGCTTCCTCCCCTCCTCTGAGTACTCCATTGTTTGCTGAGGTTTCCCTTCTGTCTGAACAGAAATCACAATTAAGGAAATAACATTTGTAGAATTTAAAATACATTCTTTTCTATGTGTTGTTAGATATTTCACACAAAAATGTAGAAATGGATCATTATAAATGCCATCCAATTTACTGGTTTTCTGTATATGAATTTCCCTTATTTTCCTCTACAAATGCTTGTACATAACTAATACATGGTATTATTCATATTATCTATCAATAGCAAGGATATTGATGAGGAAGAAAAAACCCAGCAAGCAAGTCTGTTTGGTTATCTCCACACTTGTTTAAAAATGCCCTTGGAAGTGGAAGGATAATGAATGTTGTGCTGTCTGTTAGTTTGATTTTTAAGGTGATGACATGTGGATAATCTCTGGTGGGCTTGAAAAATGAAGCTGCCATAGCTGCAGACTCTCAGTGCAAATGGTTTGGGCAGAGAGGTACGAAGAGCTCTAAATACAGAGGTAAGACACTGGCATGGACAGAGCTTTTCATTCCAGGGTATAGTTTAATGTTTGTTTTGGCTTTGCTGTTCCTGTTGGCTTACATCTATAGGATGCAGACTGCTCTGTGAAAGGAAGAATGAAGTGTCAAAAGTGGCTGGAGGGAGACTTTGAAAGTTATTGAATTTGTGAGCCAGTAAGTAAGTGGGCAAATGCAGTGTTAACTTGGAAGGAAGTAAATTTCATTTAAGCATGTTATTTTGTTACAGAGGGCCAAATCCTGAGAGATACTAAGGATTAAGTGTTTTTGATAAAATGCTCTTTTGTAGATTCAACTTCAAGTTGGGTTTTCCTCTCCAGATATGCATAAGATTTGGCTCTGTCTGTGATAACTAGTTTTGCTCAAATTATTTATCAAACTGCTTTGTAATGTCTGACTCAAATGCACGTAACATTTGCCTAAAAAAATGTGTTTGGGGAATGAAAGACTTTGCTTGAGGTCTCTGCTATTAAATCTTGGCTGAGGGGCAGGGAGAGGCTGTGAGTTTTTTGGCGAAGTTAATAAAATGTGTGGATTAGTGAAGTGCTGATTAGTGAGGTTCTATTGTCGACAGAAACATTCCTGCCTTAGCTGAAACCCAGATGGAAAGCTGCCCGCCTCAATTGCGGAAAATGGTTTATGTTGCTGCTTTACTGGAGTATGTTGCTGAGGTTGCAGCAGAGTGAATCTTACTGATGTCTTGAAGTGTAATTAACTCTGTTGTTCGATGTAAATATTTGAATACTGCTCATTCGGTCTCTACAGGGTCCTGTTTAAAACTATTTTTGCCAAAGAGCTCAAAGGCCAGTAGGAATGTGTGTGCATTAATAAACTTCTCTTTGTCCTGGACTTGATCCAGAGCTTATAGAGGGCACATAGGATGAGATCTTCCCATCTCATGTATTTACAGTAGAGCTCAGAGTGCTTGATCAAGGCTTCATTGTGCTGTCATTGTGGCCAGGGTTTAGTTTAGATATGAAACTGCGGGACGTGGACACAACAGTCAAAGGGAGTCAGAGTACTGGAAGGGCTGGGGAAGAAAAAAAGAATAGAATTCATGAGAAGAATAGTGAACTCTATTATCCTTATATGTTACATAAAAATTATGGCTTTTTTAAGGTATAGAGCTTCCATTTTTGGTCCCAAGCATTAGCTTAAATGCTCAGAATGATGCTTAAAAGGTCAAAACAATACTCTCAGGGAAATGAAGTTATATTTCCTTGCAATCATTATATTTTTGGGGAGAAAAAAAATTGCATTCTGCAAAAAGTTTTGTCAGTTTTTAAAAAATAAATTCCTTATTTCTGAGATCTGAAATACTTATTTCAAAAACAGAGTGTCCTTCCTTAGTGAAATGTCAAATTGCTTCTGAGATATTACATGTTATATTCTCTGTGTCTGGACTCCCCAGAATGCCTGTTTTTGTGCTGTTTCTTACTTCTGAAGACTCTGGTCCTGTAAGCTTAAGCAAGAAAACCTGTGGCAGGGTAAGAATGCAGCCATTTAGCAGCAGATGCTCAGCTTCCATGGGCCTAGTCTACATCTCCCTTTAGATCCACAGTGTTTCCAAATGAAAACATCTCTTCTGCCAAAGGGGATTTTTTTGTTTGTTGGCATTTTGAATTTTCACCAGAAATGCCTTTCTGTTTATCTCTTATGAGCTGTGCTTCTGAGAAGCTCTCCTCAGTTTCTGCAACAGTGAGGATG